GGGAGACTATAGCATGTTATAAAAATTGTGAAGAAGTTCCCTTAAATATATTTCCCTTAAATATATTTACTTGCTAATCAAGCGGTATATTTACATAGTATTTTGTAATCTGGTTTGTGATTGTGTTTTATAACACAAATGTGTGTGCATATATGTATGTGCATACACAATTTGTATATAAGCATATGCTAAGAAAGAGAATGAAATTTAGAGTCTAAAAATCATGTTCTGTCTGGTGTTCTGGAATTGTTTTTTTCTTAGTCCTTACTGAGAGGACAACTACCAAATTGGGAGGAATGAGTATAAGAACAGATTTCTTTTATAGTATGCTTACTTGAGTGAAGAGAGACTTAAATGTTTGAAATAGAAGAAAATAAAGGCAAGGAGATAGATAAGCACCTCATACCCACAGCCCCTCTGTTTGTAGTACATCTCATCACAAATTACCTCTATTCTTTGGATTTAAAATCCAAACAAAAAGAAGACATAGTAGGTACCTTTTAAGATGGTTCTCATTGATTCCAACCTACTGCTAGTACTCATACGCTTACGAATTCCTCTCCCCCTCAGTAAGGGCTAATTCTGGTCATTTGGTGCCAATGAATGAAATATAGTAGAAGTGGTTGGTGTTGCTTCCATGGTTAAGACTACAGCTTATGTCTTGTATGTTCTCATTCTCTGGAATCGCTTGCTCTGAAGAAGACCAGCTGCCATGTTGTGAGGCACCCATATGGACAGGCTGATGTGAGAAAGCTTAGAAGTGGGTCCCTATTCCCAGATGAGCCTTGAGATAACTGCAGCCCTTACTGACCCCTGATTATAAACTTGTAAGAGACCTGAGCCAGCTTGTCTAAATAAGCCACTTCCTAATTTCTGACCCACAGACACTATAAGTATTTCTTATTTTCAGTCCCTAAGTTTTGGTATGGTTTCTAACTGTTACAGAAGTTTTTCATTGTTCATCTGAAAATTTATTGATTATTTTTTTTAATGAAAAGAGTAATACTTCAATTTTTTCTCATTATATGGCCCTGATCACCACATATAATAGAGGCTCTTCTGTATGATATAGCATATAGTACCAGTAATAAGTATCATTGCTTTAAATAATAATCTTTCAACCTCAAGATATAATTTTCCATATATCTTTGTTTCTCATTTTTTTAGAAAAAAATTTCTCTTGTTATAACCAAAAGAGACCAATTATTTTGTATCAGGACGCTGGAGATTTTCCTTAACTTACACTCTACTCTTTTGAGGTCCTCTGTGTACAACTTAATCATGTCAGGTCTCTGTTAGTACAGCCAGTGTGCAGACATTCAAGTTCCAAATAATCAGTTTTAGGATTGTCTAGGAAGGAAGAGCTTTCAGATTGTGAAAAATAGGCAGTCTTTTAGATAAAAATCTGTTGTTCTAGAGAAATTACAGATGAAGACTATTGCTCTTTTTTACTTATTTTTAAATCTCACTATGGAGAACAAAATGGTGGCCTTCTAGTTAAGAGCCCAAGATTTGAAGTAAAAAATACTAAGATTCAAATCTCAGTTCTGCCACTTGCTAGGGGGGCAATCTTAGAATTACATTACTACATATGCAAGTTTTAATTTTCTTATTTCTGTAATAAGGATGGAAATATTTTTCTCATAGGTTATTGTGATAATTAAATGACATGAAGTATGTGCTGCAGCAGGCAAGTAGGAACATCTCAACAGTGGGTGAGGTATTTTTACCACCACTTTGATCATTATAATCGTCAATACTCAGTTTTTAAAAAAGTGTAATTAGAAATGCATCAACTAGCCAACCAGAACTAAAATTTATTGTTGTTTTCTATTTAAGCAGCAAGATCTACTTCTGCTTTTCTTCAGATACATTATCATATATGCTGAGGTTATGAAGATGTCTCAGGTAATCTGCTACAGTTACCTGCTTCCTCTACAGTACCAAGTGGAAATTTGCCTTGGTGACAGTCCCTCTGTCACTAATCTAATACTGGTATTGCCTTAAGTAACACATGGACAAATTGGGAAGGACTCATCTACTTTAATTTTGTTAAAATTCCAGGAAAATCAACCTCCCAAATAGAATCTCTTTTAAGAATTATTTAATTTAACTTTATTTATTTATTTATTTATTTTGATTTGACCAGAGAGAGACAGAACAAGAGAAAGTGAAAGAGAAAGAGAGAGAGAATGGGAAAGTCAGAAAGCAAGCCATCCAGTCCAGGACTCAAACCAAAGTCAGCCATGTGGGAGTCTAGTGCCCTTAACCACCATGCCTTCTATTTGTTATAATAAATAGAATTTATTGAAAAATATTTAAGTTAAATGGTCACCTGTTTTCTTTCTCAGCAGAACAATTTTTGTGATTATTTACTACTATGTATGAACTAAAAACTTTCAGACCATTAGCTCACAGAAGCTCTCATGATACAGATGCATGTAGTCTTCTGACTTTATATTTCCTGCACTGAGAAGTTGAAGGGATGTGGAAATGAATCCTAAGGTCTTCAGAAAAGAGTTTTACCCCAGATTGCCTCTGGATATGCAATGTATACAACTGAAGACTCTTAATTGATTATTCAATTTTAAAATCTGAGAGTTTAATCTAAATGTTTCATTTGGGGTGGGAACATCATAGATTATACCAGGTTTCTAAACGAGCTATGTGCATGAGGGGAAGTATTTAGAAATATAGTTGCTTTATTCAGAATATTTCTTTGCATGAACAATATCTAAAATGTTTAAGAGTGTATTTTGAATATATGTGTATGAAGGACTTCAAAATTTCATGGATGACATTAAAGTACAGATTTCGATGAAAAAATATTTTGAAGTACATACAATTTTTTTCATAATTCACATTTCCACAAACTTTTGAAGACCCATCATATTTATATACACATATATACATACAAGTGTGTGTGGATGAAATACACATGCATTCCCACACATGAACACACGCATACACACACACACACACACACAATAAATATGTATATTTATGTAATCTACCTTGGCCAACCTCATTCCAAGATGATTAAAGAAGTCTTTAGTAACACTTGCTTGTTCAGTAACCACATACGGTTCTTCACTCCAGAGGGAAATTTGGTTATGAAAACAGCATGAATCAGATGATCTCACCCGGAATACTGCATAATCTCTTCCAGACCCAAATTGTCGCCAAATCAATTCAGAGCATGTTTGAAATGCCAGATGTTTCATAACCTTTTTTCCATTTACTTTAAAGTATCTGATATACAATACCGTTTTCTAGGTCAGAAGGGTCGCCTGAAATGTTGCCAACCTATTTGGTGGCTTGAAACTATGAATATGAAGAAATTGATTCCATTCTCACTTCTGACTCTAAAATAAGCAGAGAATAAGGAGTTGTTTGGAGGTACAGATCATGGGAATATAAATTCAGTTCCTGGAGCCTATAGTTAAAGATATTTAAAAAGTCCTATTTGTTTATGACAAGTGCTTCAAGTTAAATATTATGGAGTCATCCACCCCCTCCCTCCTCGGACCTGAATAGGTAGTCCTAAAGCCTGACTATAATTTCTCCAAATATGGTTAATCTAAAGGATTTGTTTTCTGGGACACTGAAGAAGAAAAATTAACCTGTCATATCCTTGTATTGATGCCAGCTGGGACACGTTACTAAAATTATATGAAATAGACCGCTTTGGGACCGTGTGCTTATGAAAAACATGCCTTTAGGCACGAAGTGTTGACTCTGCAGGGAATACCAAATCACGTTTGCTGTTGAAATCATTACAGTTTGCAAACCAAGTTTTATTCTTCACAATTTAAAACTTTTGTTTCTTATGTATGCTTTGTGGACTACTCCTCCAAACCAAGTTTCAAATGATTTTGACTTATGAGCCGCTACTAAATTTGCCTTCTCCAGTAATTATTTTCTACTTAGTGATTAGACTTTGAGCAGATGACTATACTGAGTGACAACTATACTCTAAGATAAAGTTAATCAGCTATGTGATTTACAATCAATTTTAGAATTAAAAATTATGTGGGAGTCTATCTAGTTCAATTTCTTCACTGTTGATGAAGCCCAGAGAAGAAAAATAACTTTCGATTTGCTTACTCTGCAGTGGCGTTGTGGAACCAGATCACAGTTTTCTTAATTCTGTTCTAGTGATCTTTCTACATTTACAGTTCTCTGTTAGTCCTCTGTTAGATTAAACAGTGTAATTGAGCATTTCATTAATACCCAGTATAGCTCATTCTCACCACATAGGTATTATATACAAACACTCCCACCTTGGCTTTTATATTAGGCCAATGAGCTGGATTTCACTTTATCAACAGACAGTTTGCCTTGGCTGAAGAGGAGGTAGCACCTTCTAGGTTTCATTTCCCCTCCTCTATCCTCTCCCACATACGCCAGAGCATCATGGCACTCTGGATGTCATCAATTAACACCTTCCTCTTTCTTATTACTATCTACTTAGAATTTTCAATCTTAAACTAATCTATAAGATTTGGATGTCCAAGCATAATAGCCTTGGTTCATGAGGAAAAGAAAAGAACGCTAACTAGCATGTGTGGTCTGTGCTTAGAGTAAAGCGAAGGCAAGCGCTCCCATGAGGATTCTGGATCTTGGACCCAGGGATCATGAACACAGAGTGAAGGACGAAGACAAAGTAGCAGAAGAAGGTTCCAGGTCCTTGAACTGAAACTGAGAAGAGTTGGGGGAACCCCCGTTCCTGTGACACCCTGCTCCCAGATGTCTGGAAATAGGCCTTGAGAAACTGCCTGTGGCATTTCTGGCTTCAAAACTCATTTTACTGCAGTGTAGAATTAGTATGTTTTCCAGTATCTGATATGTGGGGTCTTTAGTAAGTTAACAGAAAATGCATATTATGAGACAGTTACTCATGGATTTCAAATTTCTTTGTGCCCAAATAAACTTGTGCTTTAGTTAATTTTTCTGTGAGTTTTTACAAGTTCCCTCACATATGTTTGCCTCGTGAAGGGAAAAATAACAGATGACTAGTTGCTGCAGTTAGTGGGATGACCGCAGAAGCAGAAGAAAAGTTGCTTCACACCAATAAAGGTATGACTGCTACTGTGCAATTTTACAGTATAATTCATATTGAACAACTATTCTAGATTATAATTCAGCCTAGAACTAGGCATATTCACTAAACGGGAACACTAGAGTTTGAACATTTGTCTTCTTTCTTTGAATGGTTATGCTTTTTATCTAATAAGAGATTGATAAGGAAAATAAGAATATATAATATGGTATAAGTTAGAGATTTTTCAGTGCTGGGTTTCAGTAGCTATACACTGGTAGTGATAAAATAATTTCTCTTTAAAATTTCTGTAGGAAAAAAAATGTTCATTGCCAGTCTGAAACTCTTCATTGCTTTAGCTGCTAACTGATTTTGAAATGTAGCTGTCTTTCTGTTTTGTGTGTTTGTTTTGAATAGTTCTTCGGTTGAGTTATAGGAGGAAAGAG